TTTAGCCAATGTAATTTTAAAATGTTCATTTTGGTCCTTATATTTTTAAAAATATAACCATTTTCGTCTTTATTTGCAAAATTTTGACACAAATTATACATACAGCAGAAACTCTTTAATACAAAATTATGTTTACATTTCAATAAATATATTAAATAGCAGAAACTCTTTAATATAAAATTATGTTTACATTTCAATAAATATATTAAATGTAATGTCGTGTTCAAATTGTGACAGAAAAAATGATATTAAAAATAAAATTGAGGAAATGGCCACTCTTTAAAAGTATAGTAACCAAAACAAATAATTTTGAACGTACATGAACTAAAATAAAACAAAGTAAGTACAATAATCAAAATAAATATTTTGATAGTATGGACTAAAATGAACTAAAGCTAAATTTAACATGTTGCCCAAAAAAAAACATTTATTTTGTTATATAGAGTAGCTTGGGAGGCCCAGCCCAAGTACTTGGGTATCCATAGCCTGCAATCTACAAAATCACCTACCAAATTTATATAATGAATATTTTTTGGTTTCTTTAAAGTCCCTTCTACCTTTGATTTCATTATATTGATGCAGTTTTTTGTCGAGTTTCAAAGTTCGGTCACGTGTTAATCGGGACGAGTTGTCAAGGTGCGAACTCAGGTGACAAAAAAACCTATCCAAGGAACAAAACACTTCGACGTCCAAGTTAGAGTGAGCTTGAGCTGTACTAGGTCGTTCTCAGACATAATTGCGTACCTCATCAATGGGGTGGAGCGTTCATTTTATAGGCAGACAGGGGAGACGAAACCATTGGAGCCGTTCCGACCAACAGTTACAACTATCAGATCCCATGTCGGTGGTCGGACCTGAGGTGAAATTCCTCTGGTCGGCTAATATCATTCTCGACATGGATCAGATCAACGAATACAGAGAGTCCGTTTTTTATACCTTATGATGACTTCGAACTGAGTTAGTGTGTACACATGCCGATTCTGAATTTTGACCACTAGCACATTACAAAACATAATTTAATTCTTTAGTAAGAAATTTTGTGTAATAAATTAAGAGGCTATCATTTTTCTCAATAAATATGTAAATTATTACCTTTCACAATTTTGAATATTACATCATAAATGCAGTGTACAAAATTCAAATTTCAAAGTGAACAAATATTAATGTCTAACTATATAAAAATAAGATATTTAACTAGTTAAATTATGGTGTTTGGTAAATTTTGTTTAATATTTTTTAAAAAGTTTTTTTTTGACGTGGTTTTTAACATACTTAAAAAGAACAAAATATATAATTTATAAATATGTGCAACTTGAATAATGACAACATATTGATTAAATAGTTAAAAGTATAAAACATGAAATAAATAAGAGTGAAATTATACTAATATACAAACTTACAAGTCATTAACAAAAAAAGCCGCTCAATTTTATTTTATTTTTTAAAATATCACACTACAGTCATGGAGAGGAGTGAGAACTATACAAAGAAAGAAGCTTTTCCTTTCCAATGACAACATCATCTTCCTGTTGCGAGGGCGTTCTACGAAACCAAACCGCTCCCTCGCCTCATCAAGTACATGTTGCTTTACTGGTAGGCCCACTTAGGTTAGAGGGTAAAAAATTAGACACTTGAAAATTGAAAGTCCATAAAAAAAATAAAGAAAAGATGAAAAATGGATCATATTGATGAGAGTCACTGCCACCACTCAATTAAAGCGTTTCTTTCTAATATTTCATTGATCTTGTATATAAAGAAGTGTACTCGAGTGTGAGAATTGTTTGTTAATGATTTTCCAATGGGTCTAGTGAAGATTAATTCAGATGCAACTTGTGAATGTTGGAGAAATATGCCTAGAAAACTTAAGGAAACACAAAATTAAAAATCCGAACCCAACGTAGTGTTGTTTCCTTAAGACAATTTTGTTCCCTCTACACTGCTCAAGGTTTCATGAATAATTGTCCCTCAAGATAGGACGAATATACCAACCTGTGAATGCAGCACTTCACACACATGACTCAACAAACTCACAGTACTCATATAGAAGAAAAAAATAGAATTTTGAGGGATTAGTTTTCCTGTCTTACAAAACTGAGAAGAACCACGTATTTATAGACTAATCTTTTCATGTAAAGTTATGTCTTTTAATAAAAGGACATAATCTTTACAAAATACGCACAAGTTCATGAAAAGTTATGATTTTTCAATTTTAACAAAAATAATTTTATTCAATAAATTCCAACAATCCCCCACATGAATAAAATTTATTTTAAAAAATGTGTACGATTACTCATGAAGAATAACTACATCAAGATAAGTAGTCTAAGACTTTGAACTTTCCTTAGTAAAACTATAGAGTTTTACATAGCCGATCAGTAGTTAAAGAACTTTGAACTAACTTTTTAAGAGTAAATCAAGTCTATAATAATTACATAGATATTCTTCGAAATACTAATGGTTCTCATGTTTGTATTCATTTTGGTACTGAATACCGCATGGTTTCATGAGTGTTTTTAGAGAATTCGGCCTTGAAAATTCTCATAGAAGTGGCCATTTCACACCCACATAGGTGACTTCTTTAAAGAGTGTCCTGGCAATACTCCACTCTTATAAAAGAGCTAAAGAGTCATTAAAGACATCTCTTAACCTCATTCGTTTCCAGGTTAGCACTAATTTTTATAATAGGAAAGGTTATGAATTTAGTGCTCCTCTGAGTTGTATACATAAATTTGTTTTCCCTTTTGAACCTAGAAATTGGGATCTCCAGGCAGCTAGGTTGGGTTACGATTATGTCAACTTTTATATTATAGGTTTCAAACCCATTCCTATTGAATACAATTTCACTTGCTCTCTTGCCAAAGCTTTCGTAAGCGGATCCGCAATATTATCCTTTAATTTCACTTAATCAATTGATATAATTCCATTAGAGAGCAACTGTCTTATGGTATTATGTCGTCGACTTATATGTCGAGACTTACCATTATAGATTAAAAATTGCACTTGATTTCATATTCCATTGAATATGATAATTCCACGTTTAGATTTTGCATCATTGGTATCAAAAAACTAATTTTTCATCACTTTATCATCAAAGTACAAGTGCAACCCATCATTTTTAATACTTTTTAATATCCGTATGATCGTCACTTCCCAATAATCTTTTCCAAGATTATTTGCAAATCTTCTAAATTTACTCACTGCATGTGCTAAGTCCAATCGCTGCATATGCTAAGTCAAACAATGAGCAATTTGTAAGATCTATTAGACTACCAACTATGCACAATGGTTCAATT